ACATAATGTAACACTGCACAGAACCACCAGGGGGCATAATATGGACATTACAGAATATTCCTTAGTTGGTTAAAAATTATAAATACTTTTTGAAAGTGACATTTCACCATATATACACACTGCACCAATGTATTCAACATTATTCGTTTGAGTAAATAAACAAACCCTAAGCTGGGATTCCTCTATGTAGATTTATAAAGCTTAGTTTGAAATTGGAAAGCCCAGTTTCTTTTTTTCTTATGCAAACATTTACTTACGAAGTCAAGCCATCAATGCTTGACAGCAGGGAGTCTGCGCAGTCAAAGGCTTGGCGTGAAACAGCAACTACATGAAGCTAACCTGGTTTAAAATTGGACTTCCGCTCTGGTTTTTCACAATAAAAGTATAATTGTAAGGTCTCAGGTGAGCGATGACGATTCAGGTTATTAATTACTTCGAATTTAGATTAAGGACCGAACTTTATAAACTAATGCTTCGGATATTTGCCGATTTAATTGCTGATTGTTATCTCAATACTATAAAAGCATGTTACTTTTGAAGAATGTTAATATATATTGATATATTGGTATGTTTGATCTTGTCATTTAACTAACTGGTATAAGGTTGCTTTTTTCTTTCTTTCTTTTTTTTTTTTTCTTTTTTTTTTTTTGCTGCCAGATTATTGCAAACTAGGCATGTGCCTACGGCCAGATTGGCAATGGGAGGCCCAGACAGAGTGACAAAAAATAAAATTAAAATTGAAAAAAACACATATATATGTGTTTGTGTGTCATATAAATACTGATCCTGATATTATCAGAGGCCCTAGAATGAATGAAAACATATGAAGAGCAACAGCAACAATTAAACTGAATTCATTCTCCCTGTTGAGAACTAGAATGGATTTACAACCTCTCTGGATTCTGGATACACTATTGAGAACTTAAACTCATCAAAACGCAGGACTAAACATCTGTAAATGTTAGTTTTCATTGTCGAAATCCTAAACCTGAAAAGGTGAAGTGGATATTTAATCAAAACATAAAATTCATAATAATTATAAGTATAATATAGGGCTATACTTTCTGTTAATATGAAATTTAATTTCAGGAACAAACCAAGTATATGCAAATCTCAAACAGTTGTCTTTCATCTATTATATTTCATTATTTCTCCACATGATCACATGATGATGCTGCCAAGGCTTGTTTGTTTCTGCTGCGATGGAGGCCTCAAGGGTGAAGATATTCCCAAGCTCCAAACATGCCAAATTGTTTCCTAAGTGCTTCTAGTTTTATTTATTATTATTTACCGTTGGGGAGTTTCTAAATGGTCTTGATAAATATGAAGGACTCGTGTTTGTCTTCTTGTTCCTTCACATCTCAGGTGTGAATATTGTCTTCAGAAGCAGGGACAAGAATTATTTGATCACCCAGGTCAGTTTTTCTTTGCTGTCTGAGCAGGTCAGTGAATAAATGTGAAAAAAATGTGTTCTTGGTTCAAACATAAGGATCAAGTTATTTAATGATTACTTATATAAATCTGCATACACATTACAGTGTCCAGAGAATCATCCAGACTAGTGTTGAAAACTGCTAAACAGTCCAAATTGTCTAGTGACCATGAATTATCACTACCTTTCAAGGTGCATTGTGGGAAACTTCCAGTTCACTACGTTTTTCATCCACTAGACGTTCAGACACACATTTCAATTTCGATCTCAGGTTACCTTCAAATCTGGTATACCAAATTATTTGTTTTGCTGTCCTCTGGTATGGGAAAATTAAATCTGTCGTCTACAGTTTCTTTCACTATCATGGTTTCTCCTTGAGGAGCCTCTTTAAAGGTTCCCTGAGTTTCAGTTTTATCTTCATTTTTCACTTAATTAACAGTAAAATATTTCTTTGCCATCCTCTTCTCTGGAGAAATTATCTTTACCATAAACTATTTCATCTAAACGAGGAGACATTTTCCTTATACTTTTTGTCTTTTTAAAGTTGGTTCCTTCTCCTTTCTTGCTGGATTCATTCTTTTGCATGTTCAAAACATTCCCTGCACGATCAAAGCTGATTTGCTCATCCTGGGAACTTAGATCAGACATAACATTTTCTTCAAGTATCAGGAAAATAGCTTTAGCATTCCCTTAGTTACGAGGAATCCAAAAGAAAAACCAATAGCACAGCCATGTTATGTTGACATATGAACTGATTATAAAAAAAATCCCACAGATAATTTGTTTCTCTCTTTTCAAACAGCCGTCACTTCTTGACTAGGTTAACATGCAAAGTGGGAACACATTGGATTCCTGAAATCTTTAATGAAATCAAAGTCAATAGGGCACTATATAGTGGTATTTGAAATGGGTGTCCGAGCGTCTAGTGGATGAAAAAGTATTGGACACAAAATTTCCCACAATGCATCTTTGTAAAGTAGTGATCATCCATGTTCACTAGACAAGCAGATATATCCCGGAATCTCAGGAGAGCTCTCCTCGCAAAGCATTATGGGATTTGCTGTCAGAGCGGCCCTCTGTCAACATAGGCTGTCGCTAACCGACAGAGGCGACTAAGGACAAAGATGGAGCAGGAACCAAGCCGTGGAGTTACATGACCAACCTGGAGTGAAAAGAAGTGATCATCTGTTCACTATAAAGCTCATTATATAGTCCCCGCTCTCTATAGGGATTAAGACGTTCGGACACAGCATCCGCCATAACCCCTAAATCCCACAATCACTAAATCTTCATCAGCATTATGGGATCTGTTGTCACAATAGCCCGCTATCGCCATAGGCTGTCTCTACCCAATAACTGCGACAAATAACAAAGATGGCGCAGGTACTGTGTAGGGTGGCGGAGTCACGTGACCATAGTGATTGAGGGATTTAAATGGTTGGGGCGAAAGTTCAGACACAGCCTACTTTTTCATCCACTAGACGTTTGGACATTCATCTTAAATGGTGTAAACACTATATAATGCCCTATATAGGGATTAGGGTGGCCATTCAGACACACTTTCATTTTCTTCTATCCAGCTGTTATAATTTATTTCAAACAATCCCTTCTTTTTATCTGTAGTGCTTCTCTTGGCCGTGCTGCTTCCATTACATTTATGTGCTATATTTGTTGTCCAATCAGATTTCAGCCTTGATGCAACGCTATTTAGTCTAATTCATGAACCATTTTTTTTAGGTTGGTTAAAAAAAAGAACAAATATGAAAATACAGTAGGGTATGTTGCATTAAAGTTTTTTTATGATTATAAACTTATTTGAGCTTCATTGACTGTCAACTTCATTACAAAAATATTGACATGAAAATAAGCATTCTAATAAATAAAGGCTGTCTAAACGATTTTTTTTTACTACCTATAAATATCTGTATTTTTACTAAAGAAAAAGTCTTTTTTGATTCACTTCACTATCTCCCTAATATATGTTCACAACAAAAGAAACCCTGATATGTTTTATTTTGGGTTTGTTATTGTTGGTTTGCTGAAGCTTTTGCTTGTTTTTATCTTTTTTTTTTTATCTCTTCTCTGTCAGGAAATCCCCATGGGTTCATGCTAAGCATGATGTACATTAGGTTTGTTATTAAATGGGAGTTTCTGTTCAGTCGTATCATGGCATACTGTTCTTTTGCAATCTACAAAATCTTTATATATTGAACTGGAATATTGTACAATATGTTCAAAAAAGTTATATAGATACAGTTGAATTGCTCACATCTAACCAAAAAAAAGTTTAATGTAATTAGTTAAAAACTTTTATTGGCTAACAGAGTGAAGCAATAAATAAACATATAAACTGACTGACTGTAGCTGTAGTGGCATGTTTATGGTATTATGCTGCTGGAAGGTGAACCTCTGCTCCAGATTTGTGCTTTTTGCAGTCTAACATGAATCCCCATACGATGATACATACACCAAGTTATAACTATGGGGATTTTGCTTTCTTGTCATATGCAGTGTTACTTTTTTTGCTTTGTTTGAAAAACAGATTAAAGCTACATATATAGTGTTGTCAATACATGATTCTTATCAACTAGTCATGTATAAAGTAGTGTCAAGTTTTTGCCTGTCTTTTGTGAAGGTTAGAGTTTCCCATTTGAATTACTACAGTTACCCTGGGTTCTTTTTTAAATTCAATTGAACAGCAAATTCACAGGCAGTGAAACGTGTGACAAAGGGCCCGATAGATCATACTCAAATTCTCGCATTGCCAGAGGCGTAGCCATAAAATTTTTATAAGGTTGGCAAGACATTAACCAATGTACACTGAGGGGTGGCCGAAAGTGGATAGGCGCCAAAACCTCAGGGTCAAGCCTAAGATGAGAATAACTATACTTTCCTACAGCCTTTGCTAACAAATAGACGCATATATTTAAACACTGTGCTTTCTAGATAAATGGTATAGTGGATAAAATTCTTTCAGATTTGAGTTCTGGGGCAAACATCTTTTCCTTTGTCATTACTTAGCTACTTTTATCAATAATCTTTCTGTATAAAATTGATATTTAAAAGTACTAATATCTACATAAATTATTAAATATATTAAATAAATAAAAAAGTATTTATCCATAATTCCACTGAAGACTCCTAGATGACTTGCAGAGACACATCATTTTCTCTTTAGCTCATATAATACCAAATCTAGTTCTAAAAAGAGCAGGAATTCTGTACTTATCATTTTTAATGTTAGTATATTGATGTCTATAATTAACAAAGGTGTTTTTGTTGTCAATAAATTATGAATAGATGAAAAAATAGTAAGTAATATATGAAAAATTAGAATGAATATTCCACTTGAGAGTATAACTGCTGCCACCATCTGTATTAGAGGGTGAAAAAATGGTAGGGGTGGCCAAATGATTGCTTAAGGGTGGCCATGGCCACCCCTGGCCCCCCATCTAGTTCCGCCCCTCCTCCGCGCGCTCTACCGACTGCGCCCCCACAAAGCGCTCTTATTCTGAAGTTGAACTACACCCACTTCCGGTCGTGTGCGGTCCTTCCTTTGTGTACATTGCCGCGGTCTGATTCGGGATCTGGAGAAAGATAACGGGTACCCTCCAGCCTAGAAAAAAAAAAAAAAAAAAAAGTCGCTGCTCCTCCTGTTTGATGCGCACATGTACAGCTTGCGTTGCGGTTAGGAGGAGCGTAGCGCCCAGGCCTGGATTGGCAGCTTCTCCGTCGGACTGTTTGCTGGAAGCTCAAGAGCTAGCTAAGTTGATGGTGATGATGATGATGCATCGGAGGATTTATCCCGGCGTTTCTCTCTGAGATGGAACCAGCGACGATGAACTGGAGCCGCTAACGGTGAAGACCTGGATGGCTAAATGGGGGGAGAAGTAGCTCAGCTGCACGGGGATTCCTTTTACATTTTTTACCATTTTAAACCCGATCAGATTTAACAGACGTAACATGCCGAAAGGCAGAGAGAGCCATTTTTTAGCTTAGCATAACAGTTGATCTCGCTTCGGTCGGACCTTTGGCCGTCCTTGGATGCTTCAGTGACATTAATTGGGTGAGTAACACGAGCTAGCAGACTTTTACTACTAAACTACAGGGTGGGACTACACTCTGGAGGCGCTTTCAATCAGTCAAACTCAACCTTTGCGTTCAGCCACTTAAACCGCACAAAAATTAAGGCCTCGGATCTAAATCAATCATTTATTTCCCATTAACGTTAAAGCACACAGGTGGTGATTTCTGGCGCGTTTTGCCGCACCTTTTCCCGTTATGCTAACTCATACTGTTGCTAGCTAGCATGTTAGGAAGAAACGTCCCCTTCTTTACTGAATTCTCCTTCTAAGGTTCTGGTTGTTACTTCTTCTTAGGTTTGTAGCCTGGTTTATAGAGGCACTGATGACAGCCAAGCATCTTCATTAACAAACAGGCTTTGAATGACTATCGGAATAGCGTCCTCTGCGCGTGTGTTGCATTTAAATGCCTTAAAATAGCCTTATCCTCAACCGACTAGCGGAGGTAAATAGCATTTTGTAAACCTGACATAGAGCCCCAGCTGCCTAAAACCTTTCAGGTGAATATTATTGCTAATTTTTCTTCGCCTGGTTGATTCAGGACTGGTTATACAACTTCCATATCTACACCTTTCTGCTATTTATTTATTTATTTATTTATTTTTGTAACTTTCGTTTTTACAAAACAAAAATTATCTCCTTTATACATTTAGTCATGTTGTCTGGTGTACTTATCACCAGTTAAAGATAAATTGAGTAAATACAAAAGACAGCAGGATTTAAATCTGTCTTAACAAGTAAAAGTAAGGACCCTTTTATTGAACTAATTGGTAGAGTTTATATATATATATATATTGTTACACAGAACAAAACGCATATGACAAACATTTATCACATATTATTGATAAAGTGTGACAATACAGTGCATGGGAGGCATTCAGGTCTTGCAATACAGGAGTGAGTCTTTTCCTCTTATGTAGGAGAGTAGAGGATCCCTGATCTTGTGATAGTATTTCATTTTTTCCATGTTGTGATACCTGATCTTCTCCAGGCTCTCAGCCACATTTCGTAGCTTGGTGCAAAGTCACTTTTCCACATCTGCAGGATCATTTTCTTTGCCACAACCATCCCCAAAGAGTTAGCTTGAGCCTCATATGTGTTCGCCAAAAGTAGAGCCCCTGATCCTCCCAAGATGACAACCAGTGGGTCTGGTTTAAATGTCTTCTTGAAGGAAAAGCATTGAAAAATATCCTACCAATAAGATGATAACTTAACACAAGACCAAAGGGTATAAGCAAGTGTTCCATCAGTAATTTTACATCTGTTACAAAGTGATGTTGATGAGTCAAGCTTATGAATTTAGGTCTTACAATAATACAGGCAATGCAATGTCTTGAATTGTATCAGGTTATGTCTAACATTAACTGAACAATCATTTATATTTTCTAAGCATTGTTCCCAAATTGGTCGAGTATTTTACATCACAGTGGAGGAGTTTTGACTCGCTCCTTGCTGAATTTTCCTTATACGATATATGTATGTCTGAATAGAATAATGCAACAGCAGCTTTACTTTATATTTCAGTTGGACTTTGATTAGGTCACTTCAAAACTTTAATTTTTGGCTTTTTAAATTGAGCAACTGAAGGATTAGGGCAGCATCTTGTTTTAATTTCCTTCCTGCTTAACATTAGAAAATGATAACAGGAAACTTTCTTTCAGGAAGCTTTCCTTCAGGATTTTATGGTTGAGAGAAGAATTCATGGTTCCATACAGAGTCCAAAACATACTGAGGTCAAGAGTCACTTTTAGGTGGGTTCAGCAGAGTGTTCCCCAAAAATTTGGCCATATTCAGAGTCTTAAGAAGCAAAAGCAACATCATTATGACTAGTTGGTGCATTTCTCTGTTCCACTTTCTCTGCCAGACATTTCAGGCATTATAAAGTTTTAAACTGGATCTTTATGTCATCTTCTATCTAAGAGGTTAGAAATGTGTCACAAAGGATGCTGCAGTATAATTGAAATATTTACTTCAGCATGTAATATAGACACTGAGACCCTATTACATTATTATGTTGATAGATGTGCCTAATCTGCTCACTCCTGGTACACAATATTTCAAGTATCATGCAAAAAGCATTTGACTTTTAAAACACATACAGTTCCAGCACAGTATTTTCCCTTTATACTACCTGCTCTCCCTCTATCTCTCTCTTTTCACTGCTTATCTTGCTGTTTCCTCCAAAACTTGGTTTGACTCAGCCTTTTCCTCCCTATCCTGTTTTCTCTTAAGTGAAGAAAAGCAACACAGTCAAATAATAAATTGACAGAAATGTAAACACTATGGCATTTCAACGCCATGTTTTATTAGTAATTTCATCACGTTAACATGAAATTAAGTGAGTTTTGCAGGTTCCAGAGCAGAGCTATGAATAAGCTGAAGTACAAAATGTACAGATTTAGGCAGTTATATAAAATAAATAAATATAGGAGCTTACGAAATTAAAACATTTGTAAATAAAAAGGTATTCAGAGACTTTAGACAGACTATTATAGTGACTCTTGAAGTTAGGGCAAGTTACCACAGAAAATGTATTATTTTTAAATGTAACCGGAGGTTTTATTTTGTTTCTGCACATGCGTTCTTGTTCCGGATGCCAGGGTGATCTCATCAGATAACCCCCCTCACACGCTGTTAGATCAGCATACACTTAGTGTTTATCCAACCTAAATGAATGCTGAGTCACAACATAAAGCACAGTCAATGTTTTCTATGATTTTAAACTTAAAAAAAAAAAAATCTATCCAAATTTAAATTCCCACACACACGTTTTTTTTTTTTTTACTACTAAAGTAACTCATTTTAAATGAATATAGGCTTATATGGTTTTAGCTATAGAGGCTTCCTCTCTCAACATCTCGGAAACTTCTATTATGTCTGGCTTTTTCTACACCCAAGAAATAATGGTATAATCAAAGCTGATTTACTTTTTTGAAAGTTAAAATAATTCTCATGTGGATTAGAACAATGTATGCCGATCTGACAACGTATGGTGATCTGACAGAACATCAACAGAAATATAAAATAGTTCAACATCCAACACTGAGAAATCAAAAATAAATAAATATTTCATTTTCAGTTCAAGACATTGCTAATATATCAACTAATCAATGGACGAATGTAGATTCAACTGCTTGAAATCGACTGCCGACCGGTATGATTAAATATTCTTTGGTTTGATGTTCCTCTGCTGTCTGAGCAGCTCGCCGGGCTGAAATCTTTCCTCATGAAAATGCATGTTTTTCTCTACATCATCAACAACTTAAACTGCTCTCCACCTACATTTGTAGCTTGATATGCTCCTCTTCCAGTGACTGCCATTACTGATGGACTCACTAACGTCTGTAGCCTGTGTGTGGTTACCATAGCAATAGTGCGTGTTGACGAGGAAGCAGCAGAATTTCCCAAACCCCCAAGCTACTTTTTTATTGAACGTTTGCGTTAATCTTGGCTCTTCAAATGTAAAACACCTCGCAGGTTTGTGGGAGACCTAGATCATCGCCCTACATTCAGTTTCAGTTTAATTTATTTTTAGTTAATATCACAAGAAAGAAAAATATAAATTAAAAAACAAAAAACGCAGAGAACGTGACCTTGGTGTCCTCAATGGGTGTAACAGCCCTGGTTCCAAAATAAAGTTGTACAGCCCTAGACTCTTACTGTATAACACAGTTTGTTTGCTTTTTTTATGGTGTTAGTTTAACTCTACATTTAAGAGAATGTACTCTTTTCAAGAAGTTTAACTTTTTTCCTCATCAGTACACAGATTTTTTTTCCAAAATTAGGGAAATCTACGACGGAGTATTAGGGCCACACATGAAGAGAAAAAATATTTTTGCCATGACGAGATTAAACTCGACATGTCAACTTTAAAGTCGACATGTCGACATTAAACTCAACATTTCGAGAATAAAGTTGAAATGTCATGTTGAGTTTAATCTCTACGTGTCGACTTTAAACTCGCCCTGTCGACTTTAAACTCGCCATTTCGAGAATAAAGTTGATATATCGTGGCGACTTCAATCTCGACATTCCAAAGTTTGGAGAAAAGAGCAACCGCGCTCCACAGCTGCAGTCTGCTTTTTATGAGTGAAGGTAGTCTTTGACGTGCTGCAACTGTATAATCATCACAGGAAGCGGTGGCCTACCAATAATAACGTAACGTATTTCCCTATGCTTACCCAGGCTCGCAGTTCTGAATTTGAGAACATGTCAGTCATTTCAACTTTATTCTCGAAATGGCGAGTTTAAAGTCGACAGGGCGAGTTTAAAGTCGACACGTCGAGTTTAATCTCGTCATGGCAAAAATATTTTTTCTCTTCATGTGTGGCCCTAATACTCCGTCGTAGAAATCATCCTCCTGTGCTGGTGTTTTGGTAAACATATCATTGCCGTTGGGTTGCTTCTGATTTCTGATAAGCAGTTATGTCGCCTTCGGATTGTTGCAGAGATGTCAGCTTTGCTCATTCTTTCTTTTTGTTGATTTGCAAATGCAAATAAGGAAAGACCTGCTTTAAATGTTTTTATGGTTTTTGTAATCTTTTGAAGGAGTTGATACTCTCCTGGAGGGATTTTTGTTGGCCAGCTGCTCCTGGGAAGCTGCACCATTGTTCCATGGCGTTTTTGCCTACTTCAAGCCAACTATGTTATATTTTCCAAGCCTATTGTCAAAAACTGGCAGCAATTGTGACTGGATTTTGTTTTCTAAAAGGTTGTTAAAAAGAATCAGTAATATAATTTTTACTTCTGATATGTGCAAATTGGTAAATTTACAATACCTTCAAATATTTTATGCATTTTAAAACAAGGTATGGCAATTTAACAAAGAACGTAGATATATCTATTTTAAAATAAGATGCAAATTTCCTTGAAAGTCTTTTAAAAAAAGCTGTTGTCGTATTGGTAACTGGCAACAATAAAATGTGAAAGGGACGTAGATTGCTGTTTTTATTTTAAAAGGCATAACAATTTTAAAAGAAGTATAATCATGAGGACATTTTGAAGCTATTTGTGTCACCAAAGTGAAAAGTTACATAAAATAAATTAAAAACTAAAATAATTTAAAAAATGAATAAATTAAACCCCATTTCCCACTTTTTGCCTTTTGGTACATAGTCAGGTCTCTGAGAACCAGACTCCAGACAGATGTTTTCAAAGAGGACTTGTATCAGATTCACAAATCAAAAACAGAGCTGCAAGATATGAGGAAAGCATGTCATTCCGATGCTGTTGCCAAATACTGAGATGACTAAACAAGTTATGATTAACTGCTGTTTTCCTGACACTCTACTTTGTTCTACCAAATCGTAAACTTTAGCATCATAGTTCTATTACTATATTATTAACTATGAATATATTCACATTTTTATTCAACATAGAAAAATGGTATTTCAATGCATTACTTGTATGTTTATCTTTATAGTTTTAAGGCTAATACCAGTTAGTTCGACATCAGTCTATCTGATCCTTGATGTGTTGCTTATATTGGGGGCTGATTCTTGGAAGATGATTTTCATTTTTTTACCCACCCATATAGGGCATATGTGAGATTTTTAGAGCGGAATAATGGCTTTTTGGAGGAACTGAAATGTAATAGTGATAAAGAACGGCTAGTTAAGGTTTTACAAATCTATTTATTTAGAAGACAAGTGTTTTATACCTTGTAATAACAACAAAATAGCAGCTGAACTTCTGTCACAACCAGCTCCCAGAATTCCTCCTAAATGACTAATGTAGGTCAGGACCAGGTTGCCACATGTTAAATATGGAAGTTATGTCCCCCTGAAGGCGGCTGCGCCTCGGAACTTCCCTTCCGGTTCTTGTCCTCGGAGCAAGTTATTTACTACTCTTAACTCAAACTGGGTAAAACCATATAAAAAAGGACTAAACAGCGTTTATTCCAGGTAAGGTCGTTACAGAACAGAGAAATTGCTTAGGGTTGGCAAAGCTGTGGGCTCAAAAAACATCAGCGAGCGTCCGGCAAAGATTGAGCCCAGAACAAGGTCATCTCCTCCTTCTTATACCTCATGAGTCCATGTTTTGCATCAGGTGGATGCTTAGCTGTCCGTATCAGAAACTGACACACCATCTATGCCTTGACCTTTAAAGTAACAATGCACATCATGTACAAAGAAAAAACCTAACACACAGCCTTTAGTCTTTTCTTGACTGAATGAACTTTTCCATCAAGTTCAGAAATATTCCGATAAGACATTTGACACTTTTAGGATAATTATCATTGAAGATGTGAGTCTATCGCACCCAAGTATGGGCTGCCTGTTGCACGTTAGAGCTGACATTTTAATCTAATTAGGACAATTCCTCGTTTTTTAAAGTTGAAATAATTGTCTCAGTTGGTTGTCCTGTTTTCTCTCTAATGCTCACCTGAGATAATGATGGTTTGTTTGTCTGTTTATTTGTTGATTAATGATTACTTGATGATTAATCTTCCATCATATTTAATAATAGGCCTTCCACCTGCTAAATGGTTGATTTTTACACCAACCTCAGAAAGGGTTTTTTCCTGTATTGGTTTTACTTCCATCTGACCTCGGCTAAAGGGCACAGGTTGATGTGCGGAAAGTAAACAGGAAATCATTTTTTACTTTTTCTCTGGTAGGCCTGTCAAACATGACTTGTGGATGATGGCATCTAATAGTTGTTGAGTTATCCCTGCGATTGCTTCTCTGAATACAGCTTATTGAGGTCTCTAATTGCGCTTGGATTGCAGAAGGGGCCACTTTTAGGCTCATGGTTGTTTTCCTGAAGTCATTTCCTGACTTTTTAAAGGTAGATTTTTCTCTGTGGCACTTGAACCACTCCGTGTCACATTATTTGTACTTTATTGAAACAGGAAGTCACCTGTCAGGGATTTAAAACTCCAAGACACTGGTCATCTTAAAGTTCAGTAGGAATTACAATATAGTTTAATTATATTAACTTAAACTTTTTTTTAAAGGTGTGATGATGTATTCTTATTTTAGCTTTTTTCCCCTCAATGTGATATTGTCTATCTCTGTGTAAATGTGCTCAGATTAAAGGCTGGATTTTTCTAAGTTATCAGCATGTGTCAATGCTGCGATGATCTATTTTAAGGGTTTTTACTTATCTCTATGGGGGGGAAGGGTTTAAAAATTCCTGTTTAAAAAACCTCCCACAAAATAGCTATGCAATTATTTTTGGGACAGATAAGGTCCAATTATACTGAAGCATTTAACAGAAATAAGCATACATAAACAAAACGAAACAGAAACCCAGTAAAAGAGGGAATTCTGTTTTGAAGTTAATTTTAATAGAATAAATATGAAAATAGTTTCTGTTGAAATAGTAAAACCTTTTTACAACTACTTTAAAAGTAAAATGATAAAGGAATTTCATGCAACTTCAAACTAGGACGTATTCTGGAAGAAAAAACAAACGATAAATTTGATCAGAAACTCTGGCAACCTGTTCAAAAATCCAGTAGGCTTTATTTATTTTAATCCCTGCAGTTGAATGCTTCTATTCACACCTATAAAAGCAGAATGCTATTTTTTTTCTTATTTTATGTTCAGTCAGAAAAATAAAACCTCTAACCGCTGCTTTGTCTGTCTGCAGACGGTGCGTTTCAGGATGGCACAGCTGTTGGACGGTGCCGGCAAACTGAGCTGGGTTCTCCTCAAGTCTGTGATCCGTTTCGTCTTTATGTTCTTCAACAACTGTGTGGCCATCCCTTCCTACTGCTTGTACATGTTGCTCCTCCAGCCGCTGAGAATATGGGACAGCTCGGCTTTCTGGCACATCGAAGGGGTCATGTTCAAATGGCTGCTGGCCATGGTGTCTTCGTGGGGCTGGATCGCATCTTATACAGGTGAGGTGCTTCATTGTTACAGACACGGATTTTCATGCTGCTTAAGCTCCATGTTCTGATGTCTGGGTTAGATTCCCTTGAAAATACAAATGCATAGATCTCAGCCATAAATCCATCCATTCATGTTTTTTCACTCACGATCAGAGAGCTGGTTTTCCTCTGTTGACGGGGGGAATATCTTGAGGAAACCAGCCTTGTGGTGTTCGGTTGCACACAGCTGAGAGCCCAATGCTTACAAATCGCTAAGAGGCAAACACGGAGAGCGACAAAGCTCCATGATAAATAATTTAACAGGTTCAGCTTATGGAAAAGCAGTAGCATGTCTGTGCATTTGTTTTGATATGTGTGCGGATGTTAAAGTACTTTATAGACTGTTTGGCCCAATCATCTGAGTAACAACGGTTTAATTTAGATTAAGTTTCATCAGCGGGGTTTCCTTTTTTATATTGTTGATGAACTGTTTGTCATTTTACAAATGTTTCTAAATGGTTCAATCTTTTCACTTTTTGTTCTTTTTTTTTTTTAATTTGGCAAAACAAAAGTGATGCTTCTTATGTTGACAGCATTGATCTTGAAGCAACCATCAGATTAGTCCAGTCACGTCTTATAACTGATGCATAAGCAGTTCTCCGACACAACCCTGAATCCAAGTCTTTACCTTCCTACAGATTTCTACAGTCTTTATTTAATCGTCATCTAAATGCTTCTGATATTGAAAATATGTGGTCAATTTTGATAGCCATATACGGAAAGAGCTCATTTTTATTACATTTTGAAATGTTATTAACCCAATGGTTTTTGGTTATCTTCATTAGACACATCTAGACTTGCTTATTGCCACTGCTGTAAAAACAACTAATCTCTTGAATGAAACGCATCTGAGAACAAAAAACAAGTGGTCCCCCAATCTAAATTAATTCAACAGAATAAAAAAAAAAGTATTAACATCTATCCTTGTGCGAAAAATTTTATAAAACCATTTTTTTTAAGACTTGAGAGAGAAATGGAGGCAGAGATGGCAGCTACATGGAGATCCAAGGAGAAATCTCTTAATCTGTAAATTCATAAAAACACGCCTCTCACAAAAACATCCTGGCACTTCTTATAAAGGTATAAGAAAAAAAAATCTGATTAAGGGGGGAGGGTTATCTGATGAGATTACGCTGGTGAATTGGCTCTGGTGGTCAGTAGAAGAAAAATAAGATAAAGCTTTTTGAGTGGTCTAGTCAAAGTCCAGACATAAATCTGAATCTAAAATCCCGCAAATATGGCTGAACTATCAACAAATCTTCAAAGATGAGTTGGCTGAGATTATCTTCATGATCATTTAAGACTCTTTTCTTGTTTTTGTAAACTCTTGTTGCCAAATTATGCAATTGATCCTCCATCTTTGCATACTCATTAAATACTAAGAAGGATGCGTTTCTTCTGTTTTATTATGCTTTTCTATCATGTACCACTTTGTTAAAGCTGCGGATATTTAAAACAGTTTGCTGGATTCACATGCATGTACCGTTACATCCCTACTACTGAAGGAGGGAAATGTTGCTGAGTTAATGCTACGCCATCTGTCGCGTTGCATCAACACAAGGGCATTTTTTTTTTTTACTCTGTGGTGGCATCAACAATCAGCTGTGGTGTAATTTCCTGGAGCAGCAACTGAGAGGAAGGATTCAGATCAGCTCATCAGGAAAGGTCAGCTCTGCCCCAGGTTACCTCTCAGGACTCTGTGTTCAAAGGGGCGTTTTGGCAGATCCTACCTGCTCCTCAGCAGCTGTTAGACTTTAGAAAAATCTCTGCTCCCAACAAACTCAATAAGGGCCAACATCCTTGCTGTTTTTGCTAAGTTGTTCTATTTTATTCTGGTAAATAGTTTGTTGGTGTTTTTATGGCTGGAAATGTATACACATTTGTACATTTTTCTATTTAACTCTTAAAATAATTCCTTATTTTTCATAACTGTACAGTGTTTTTTTGTTGTTGTTGTTTCTATTTGGCTTCATTTGTAGGATCAGAGGCTTTTTTTCAGTTTGTACAGCAGTAGTGGCTCGTTTTTATGGACAGTAGGCTGACAGGAAAGGGGGCATGAGAGACATGCGGGAAAAGACCACAGGGCAGATTCGAACCCTTGTCGCCCACGTCGAGAATTAAGGCCTGCATACATGGGTTGTGTGCGCTAACCTTTGCGCACACCATGTTTTTTGTCTCTTGTAACTTCTAAACAAGGTCATGACGTTAATAGGGCACAACAGTTCAGTCTCAGAGACTTGCCGTATGACCCGAACTCCTGTTTTAACATTGCATTTATGTTATTTGTTAAGCAGATATGAGCCTTAATACACTTCTGAAGGGAGGTGATCATATAAGACTAAATGTACACATAAGATCACGTGTGCTTATTTATTTTTTTACAATACAAACACATGGGGTTGAATGTTTGCAGCTCTAACAGATCCCTTGTTTGTGTTGCTTTCAAACTCAAGAAAAGGAAGTCTTGCCAGGCAGGATAGAAAAGCAAATATTAAATTTAGTTGCAGTAAACCGTACTGTTTCTGATATTAAAGAGAAAATCTGTTTACCCTGACCTTATGGACCCAAGCAACGTCTGAACATCACAGATATGATCAACTGTCATTTGCTTAGCTGAGATAATCAAATCACACTTCTTGCTTTAACATATCAGCAGGTTTAGTGAAGTATCAGAGGTAATGTTTCACAACCTAATGTCCGAAACGTTGAAGTTAAATCATGTTATCGTCTTGGCTGTGCTCGCAGAACAGGGGTGCTTTGTAAATAGCAGATAACTTAATCAGTGCTAAATAGGCTCTGTCAACTGCCTGCACTATGCTCTGAATGTTTAATGTCAATCATTAAGCAAGGAGGTGAATGCACTCGAAGCCCCTCAGTGTTTATCACTGGATGGTGCTTCAACTTTAACTTGAAACTCAACCTTGCATCCTGTTTTCCTAATTAGATGCTAAGTGGTGGGAGTAGGAGATCTCACTCTTCCTCTACTGTTACACGTTATGGAGGTAGGGAGCGTACAGTAGCTCTGCTCTCTGTGAGTTGGAAGCAGAATTGGAGGCATTCATTCATGTGTAATGCATCTGAGGCCCAATGAGTTTAAAGGTGCTTGTTTTGACTGAAGGTGGACCTAAGCTTTGCAGCCAGCTACTGGCCTTAACACCACATTGACAAACCCTCTACTAGATCTGAACTGTGTTGTTATATGATATATAAGGTCACGAGCGGCCATCTAACCCTGTAGTTAAAGGTACACTATGCAACCGGTGTTGATTTTCCAGCAAGGCTCCCCCCAGAGGGCGAAAGTAAAAGTGCACTGTCGTAAATATGCTCAGCTGTTCTCCTGGTTTCTCCATCAAGCCAGGCGCGGTTGTTTTGAGCTTAGCAGCGAATGACTAATGCTGCGTTCACACTGGACGTAGCTGGCGCGACAGAAGCAGCGAGTTTACATGCAAAGTCAATGGTTGACGCACGTCAAGGCGCAGCAAAAGGTCCAGCGGCGCGTTTTGAGCACCAGGCGCAGCACGTCTGAGCAGCTGAAGCAGCACATCGGGCGCGTTTAACGCAGGGAGAGAGACACAGCGCTGATGATCACTCCTCTTAAACAGTTTATTGACGCCTAAATTAACTTAAAATGCAGAAATCTGCCGGCAGAATATGCAGTTTGGATTATTTAGATGAAAAACACCTACCAGCTGCCGCGGTGAACCGCTGCTGATGAAGGGATCCATACTGTCGGCGCATCCCTGGTATGTGGGGGTCTGAGCGGCTCCGACAGAAAAAATATTGAAGGCAGGATAATAATCTGAATGAACTGACGGCACTGATTACGTTTTCAGGTGTATTTTCTCACTTAAACACATATTAAAACTACTTTATTCCCACTGATCACAGCAAATATAGCTGCAAGGCAGAGAAAGGTTAGTGAAGCTCCGCCCAACGCGCCTCAGACACACTTTTGCACCGCGCAGCCAGAGCAGCAACTGGTACAAGCAGCAAAAATGAAGCAGCAGACGTGCTTTTGCTGCGTGAACGTAGCATTACTGCACAAAGATCGCCACTTTGCTAGCAACGAGAATGCTTTTAACTGGGGGGTGTAGCAGTTCTCGCCGTAAAGCAAGACTGACTCTCACGAGACTTCTGAGCCTGTGGGTGTGGGTCGGTGCTCCTGCAGTTGCAAGTGCAGTATTTCCCCCACAGACCACCAGGGCGGCCGAGAATACCTTTGTTCAACCTGAAATGACTCATTTAATCATCCATAACGTTATGGAACACATTAATTAACTGAAAAATGTTGCATAGTGTGCCTTTAAAGTAAGAATGATCAGTCCAGGGTTTTCTAGACAAATGCCAAAGCCTACTTTTTTCTGCAGGTTTGTTTTTAATGTGTGTTGGAAAACCTCTTGGGTACGACTTGTACTCTGTATCAGTTTGACCCCTCCGAATGGAGTTAGACGTTTTCAACCCCGTCGGTCAAAATCGAAGCACCGGAGTCTAACCAGGGGATTGCAGATGGAAGATTTGAATGTATTTTGCATGAGTGGGTGGTCTGTCAGACCTGTGAATGGAGATCAAAGCCATCAGTGATGATTGCACACTTGTTTTCCAGTTAGTAGCTGCATGTCCCAGTCTTTGATCATACTGGTAATGATGTTTAAATGGGAAACAGTAACATGGATCTTAATCCTTCTGCATATGTGAATTTAATCAGACCCTCTAATGGGTCTGCAGCCCACTCTGGCTCCTCTTTGGCTCTTTATCTCTGCAGCGTTGTTGCTGGAGCTCAGGTTAATTATTCCTTATTTATTTTAACAAGAAAATCAGCAATTCATCTTATGTTGAGTCATAAAACATTTTTCTCCTTTAGTTATTTGTGTCTTAGAATTGCTTCTTAAAAAATGGGTTTGCATTCAGGTTATATCTTCTGTGGAACAGGATATAAAATGACTGCAAAAAATCTTTATTAGGTTTATTTG